TGTTGTTGTTGTTGTTCTGTGCCCTGCAGTCGGACCCAACTCATAGCATCCCCTCCTTGGGTTTCCGAGGCAGTATCACTACAGAAGTACATTGCCCAACCTGTTAGGTACAGTTTTAAAAACCCTCAAAACCAATGTTATATATTGATTATGAATAAACACAGTAACAATATATATTATATTCATTTTCTATTGCAGTTAGAACAAGTTAGTGGCTTAAAGCAAACCAAATTTATTATTTTACAGTTCTGTAGGTCAGATGGGAGCTCTGGTGGCATAGAGCCTGAAGCATTTGATTGCTAACCAGAAGGCTGGTGGTTCAAACCCACCAAACCCACCAGCCACTCCTCGGGAGGAAGGTTGGGCAATCTACTTCTGTAGAGATACTGCCTCAGAAACCCAAGGAGGGGTCACTATGAATCCTATCCAACTCTACAGCAGTGAATAAGTCAGATATCTGACATGGACCTCATTAGACTAATAGCAAGGTGTTGACAGGACTGTCTTCCCTTTTGAAGGTTCTAGCATAGAATCAGTTTCCTTTTCCAGCTTCTTCCATGGACCTTTCCTTCATCTTCAAAGTTGGCAATATCATATCTCTACAACCCTTCTCCCATCATTTGTTTTTTCTTTCTCTCTCATGCATACACACACACACACACACACACACACAACGACAGCAACAACTGGGAAGGGTCCTACAATTTTCTGGGCTCATATGATTAGATTAGGCCTACCTGGATAATCCAAAATAATCCCCCTATCTCAAGGCTCTTGATTTTAATTACATCTGCAACCTTAGTTCCCTTTTACCATGTAAAGTACATTCACAGGTTTCAGAGATTAATATGTGAACATCTTTGGGGGAATATTCACCTAAAAATTACAAATATGGAGGAAGATACATACTAATTTAATGTAAGTAATTGAGTAAAGATACAAAGGGGCCCTATATAATATCTGGGTTATATTTCTAAGGTAAAAAATTTAAAAGAACTGTAGAAAATATAGTAAAATTTTTATTTTAAAAAATATGAGTAGTAGATATATAGATAGATATTCCTTATATTGTTTGCCACCAGAGCTCCCTTTGGGTTTTTTTTCTTACTTTCTTTCTTTGTTTAAAAATTTGATTCTATGTAAAACTTAAGGAAAGTTTATCTATTGGAGGAAATTTTCTTTGTTGGTTACCAGGGGTGGGAGGGGAAGGGGAGGGAATGCTGTTAGATAGATAGTGATAAATATTGATTTGGGTGAAGAGAAGGGCAATGTACCAAATGGGAGTGACCAATATGGCATCATTGAGGATGAGAAAGACATAGAGAGGTACATGGGAAGTACAGACAACAAATATGAACCCTTTTGCATATACAGTACTGAGTTGTCAGTGAAGGCAAACGGGTATATGGACGGATAGATGGGTGGACAGGCTAAACAACTAGGTATGTCTAAATGGGGAGTGTATCCAAGATCATATATAGGGTTGGCAGACAATAGGCCTATAAGTGTATGTGTTGTTGTTGTTGTTATGTGCCTTCGAGTCAGACCTGACTCATAGCGACCCCTCCTTGGGTTTCCGAGGCAGTATCACTACGGAAGTAGGATTGCCCAACCTTCCTTCCG